TATTATATATAATAACCCAGAATAATATTTTATTTTTATTTTTTGTGGAACCAGATGCTTGGGGGAACAAACAAGATCCCAGAGGAGCTTTCCTCATCGACCGCAGTCCCGAGTATTTTGAGCCCATTTTGAATTATTTACGGCACGGACAGCTGATTGTCAACGATGGAATTAATTTATTGGGTGGGTATTGCCTGTCTGATTGGTAATTAATAATTAATTAATAATCAATCATCTCAGTTATTGCTGCTTGGAATGGAGAGGGAGCGCTCTGGGTGGATTTCTTGGTGGATTTATTGGTGAATTTATTGATGGATTTATTGGATTTATTGGTAGATTTATTGATGGATTTATTGGTGGATTTATTGGATTTATTGATGGATTTATTGATGGATTTATTGGCAGGTTTATTGGTGGATTCATTGGTGGATTTATTGATGGATTTATTGATGGATTTATTTGGTGGATTTATTTACAGCGGTTTTTCAGGATCAACAATCCCAATAACCCCACTGTTTCTCTGTAGGTGTTTTGGAAGAAGTGCAGTTCTTTGGGATCGGTTCTTTGGGATCGGTTCTTTGGGATTGGTTCTTTAGGATCAGTTCTTTGGGATCAGTTCTTTGGGATCGGTTCTTTGGGATCGGTTCTTTAGGATCGGTTCTTTAGGATCAGTTCTTTGGGATCGGTTCTTTGGGATCGGTTCTTTGGGATCGGTTCTTTAGGATCGACAATCCCAATAACCCCACTCTTTCTCTGCAGGTTTTTTGGAAGAAGCCCCGTTCTTTGGGATCGGTTCTTTGGGATCAATAATCCCAATAACCCCACTCTTTGTTTGTAGGGTTTTGGATGAAGTGCAGTTCTTTGGGATTGGTTCTTTGGGTTCGACAATCCCAATAACCCCACTGTTTCTCTGTAGGGTTTTGGAAGAAGCGCAGTTCTTTGGGATCGGTTCTTTGGGATCGGTTTTTTAGGATGGACAATCCAAATAACCCCACTCTGCAGGTGTTTTGGATGAAGTGCAGTTCTTTGGGATCAGTTTTTTAGGATCAACAATCCCAATAACCCCACTCTGCAGGTGTTTTGGATGAAGTGCAGTTCTTTGGGATCGGTTCTTTGGGATCTTATTTTGGGATCAATAATCCCAATAACCCCACTGTTTCTCTGCAGGTGTTTTGGAACATGCCCAGTTCTTTGGGATCAGTTCTTTGGGATCGGTTCTTTGGGATCGGTTTTTTAGGATCGACAATCCCAATAACCCCACTCTGCAGGTGTTTTGGAAGAAGTGCAGTTCTTTGGGATGGGTTCTTTGGGATTGGTTCTTTGGGATCAGTTTTTTAGGATGGACAATCCCAATAACCCCACTGTTTCTCTGCAGGGGTTTTGGAAGAAGCCCCGTTCTTTGGGATCGGTTCTTTGGGATCTTTTTTTAGGATGAACAACCCCAATAACCCCTCTCTTTCTCTGCAGGAGTCTTGGAAGAAGCGCGATTCTTCGGCATCGACTCCCTCATCGAGCACCTGGAGGTCGCCATCAAGGTACTTTTTTTTTTTGTAAAATCCGAATTTTTCCC